AATACTTATTTGTCATTGTAGTTATAAAAAAATAAGCTTCCCTTCCCTTGATCACGATTCGAGTTTCCGAGTTATATAATATTTAAAATATAAAAATATTTAAGATTTAAAGTTAAAGCACTCTGCATCACGTCATTTGAAAAAATGATGCTATCACCAGTTTGTAATTGATGTTTTATCGTGCTATAAATGCAATTTAAATACTTAAGGAAACTAATTAATTATCTTATATAAAAAAAAATAGGAAGTCAATTCTTTTTTTATTAATCCTTTATTACATATTAAATCTAAAAATTTTATTTGAATGTTTGACAGGATAGTTCAATGTTTGATGTTCCATTTTTGTTATTCGGATTGAACGGATTGAATCTCTTGCTTAAAACATTAAGAAATTCGATAATTGCTTAATGAACCAATAAACATTCCCCGCCGTAGAGTGGCGTCTCATAGTACATCTCGCATCGATCTGAAGAATTAATTGGATGCTTTTCGGAGAAATCTGATCTTATGAATATATAACATTAAATTCTCGATTTAATATAAATTACCCTATCTCAACACTTTGTTTCCTTACTCCTTAAGTTTGCAAAAATTTAGTCATTTAAAATTTTTTCCTATAAAACTAGTCTTTAATCATGGATGTCCTTTTTTTTGACCCAAACACGTTCTCATATTATTCCTATTATTCCAATAATATTTCAACAATATTTCAAAAAAAAAATTTTGATTTCTTACGTCCTTTTTTATCAATCTCTTTTTTTATTGTTTTTATAAAACATGGTACGACAATTTATATGATTTTAAGTTAATTTTTTTTCATGATTGTTTGCCAATTATAGGGAGGTTGATTTTCGTTCAAATATTATCATACAATTTACCTGACATACTGTGGATCTTTTGTGCCAAATATGATCCTAGTGAATATTTCTTTGATAATAAGAATTTAAGAGAAATTTTCAGTAAAAAGGTAAGAGATTCCATTCAAAAAAGCAAAGAATTGGTTTAATTATTCTCATCATTATTATTAACATTAATTTAATTACATTCGTATTAATAATTAACCGACGAACAACAAAAAAAAGTCACGGAAGATAGTTATGAAGTATTGTTTGATTTGGATACATAATAATGGAAAAATTTTGAAAACGGAAAAAAATCAAACAACGAATACCAATAACAAAAAAATATTTTTTTTTTTTAAAAAAAAAAAAAAAAAAAAACGTCGTTTTTACGCGTTGAAAATATCATGTATCTTAAAATACTGCATTGTAATCCTCATGATGAGCTGTCGCATTTATGTTTATGCTTCCCACCCCACATAATAAATTCTTTTCTAAATAAATCTGGGAAGATATTTGTATAGTTTGTATTAATACGAGACTTGATTTTACATGCTAATGTCTCATAAATAAAATTTTCAATAAAAAAAGATATTAATTTTTATTTAAAATTTGACTTAGAATAATGAGCTGTAATAATATTTTATCTTTCCATTTTTTGAACCTGAAACATCATATCTATCAGAAAAGAAGGAATCAAAAAATAAAGAGCCAAACATGTTCATTTCTTTTCGTAAAGAAATGATGAAATATAAACCATATAATAATAAAATACAGCAAGTTCATGTCTGAAGAAGCGAAAGTTGAACTACAAACGCAATATCAAATAAATTGAGATCAAAAATTACGACGAGAACGAGTAAAATTGCCGATCAATGCATCGCAAATCATGAAAGAAGGAACAAGTATAAAAGACGATTACAAAAAAATGTAACCGAACAAATGTAAATTACTTTAAATAATCACGTGTTAAGTAATCAATCTGAAACCAATCAAATTGCAACGAGTTGCCTGGCTTGATTCGAGAGTTTTTTTCACCGAAAGTTCTTCGGAATTTATAAATGATGATATCTTCAAAACAATTTAGTTCCGAAAACTAACAAACAATAATAACCACTTCATTAACGACTTTGTTAAAATCTTAAGAAGGTTAATAATTATTGTAAAAATTCCTTATATAATTAACAGTTTAATATTTGTAATATAGTCAATATCTGAATTTTTATATATTTACCAATTAAGACATCTTTAAATCGAGTCATAAATGTTTTCATATTTTAGTCCCAACAAATAATTTAATAACTACTACTGACTATGGATTTAAGCTAATAACAATATAATAGTTCAAAGTTTCAAATTTTCAAATTTCAAGTAACAATTATAGGGTATGGTTACATAAACATATTAACTATAGAGAAATTACATGATTAATTAGAAACGATAATATATATATATAACAAAAAAAATATAACAATGTTGTTAGCCGGAGGGCTGGAAATAAAACTTAGATGATATAATTCAGTCCATCGAATTAATCACAATAACTTTATCACAATCACGCCTGTATGAAGACATGGCAAAAAGTAATAGTAAATGAATAACAAATATCTTTATTGAACTCTTGGTTTATTCACAAAACCCTATTTCGAGTTATCTTTCAACTCAAGGAAAAATACATGCTATTTATATAAAATAAACTAATAGTAATATAATATGATAAATATATCTAATATAATAAATATAACTAATATGATAAATAAAATAAATATAATAAATCTATCAAATATAACAAATTTAATAAAGTTAATAAAGTTAACAAAAATTATAAATATGATAAATATAGATCATTGGTCAAATATGACTAATCTGTCATATTTGTTAACTAAATCAAATGATCACTGCAGTCACAGATCACGGCTTCAATGCTCACTTCGGATATCCCAAATGATCACTTCGGCTATTGTCTCAAATGCTCACTTTAGATATCCCAAATGATCACTTCGAAAATCATCCCAAATGACCACTTCGGATAATATCCCAAATGCTCATTTCGGATAATATCTTATATGCTCATTTCGGATATCCCAAATGGCCACTTCAGATCATACACCAAATGACCACCACTTCACCAATAATCATTTCGATCCAAATTATCAATTCAGATGCTCAATATGACTATTTTATATTCTAAAAAACCATTTTGAATGATCCAAATGACAAAGATAGGGCATCTTAATTAGTAATTCAACTTTTGGGCATATAATGTATATAATGTTATTTTCCTATATGTCTCTAGTCATTTAAAATGTTCGAAGAGATCATTTGTCCAAAATTACAATTTGTGAATGTCAGAAGTAGTCATTGGGATATCCGAGATGAGCATTTGGAATATTATCTGAAGTGGTCATTTGGGATATCTGAAATGAGCATTTGGGATATTATCTGAAGTGAGCATTTGGGATATTATCTGAAGTGGTCATTTGGGATATCCGAAATGAGCATTTGGGATATTAGCCGAAGTGGTCATTTGGGATATTATCTGAAGTGGTCATTTGGGACATTATTTGAAGTGAGCATTTGGGATATTATTTGAAGTAGTCATTTGGGATATCTGAAATGAGCATTTGGGATATTATCCGAAGTGGCCATTTGGGATATCCGAAATCAGCATTTGGGATATTATCCGAAGTGGTCATTTGGGATATCTGAAGTGAGCATTTGGAATATTCCAAATGATCATCTGGGATAAATGCGCATTTAGAACAAATTCAATTCTGAAATGATCATTGCATTTGGGAAATCTCAAATGCACATTCCGATTTGAGATATCCGAAATGATTATTTCGGACATTAATGCATTTGGACTACAACAGGCCTTTAAAGAGAATAAAACTATTTAAATCAACCTTGTTCAATCCTATCGAAAACTAATAGTAAAATGAAGTATTTTTATAGCTAAAATTTCCTTCCCATTCTTTGCTATGGCATTCCTTAAAAATATCATCTAATTGCAGTTGAATTAATTTAAAGTATTACTGATATCAAAAAGAATAAATTTAACACAAATCTTCCTTAAGGTCAATTGAGTTCGAACAGTCAGAAAAGTCCGAAGTATCCTCCTGAAATTTCTGACAGGACTTATTCCATGCAGTCACAGTACGAGGCTGAATTTTCTTTTTTTTGCTCATGTTGAAATCATTTTAATTTTTTTTTTTTTTTTTAGAAAAGAATTAGATAATAAAAATAGATAATAGAATATACAATATACTGATTTTTATATACCAATATACTACTATTAAAAACTTAATATTCTGATAAATTTTATTTTTCCCACTATATTTGAAATCATATAAATATCAGTATAACCTAATATAATAATAACTTAACATATACTGTTAAAATTTAATCAACTTTGTTAATAATTAATAATATATAATGATAGGGACTAAATAATTTTAATTTTTATATTATATTATAATATAATTTATAATTATTAATAATTTATTTAATTATAAAATGTTAGATTATATTATTAATAAATAAAATTAACCTTAGCATTATTTATAATATGTTTTAAATAATCAAATTTTTTTGGTTAAAACTTTTTTTTTATTATATAAAGTAATTACTTTAATTAACTAATTATACTTTTATCGTATATTTTTGGGATTTCCGATAAATAGAATCCTGACAGATTATAATTCTGATATTCATAAACTTGACAAGAATGAAATCCTGACTGATCGATATTCAGAAATTCTAATATCCTGAATGGTTTGGGATCCCAGTAGTAGAGATTTTGAGAGATCATGATCCTGAACATTTCATATCCTGAAAAATCATGATCCTGAATGTTTTATATCCTGAAAGATCGTGATTGTAATATTCAAGATTCTGACAGTTCCTAAAATAATCATAAAAAATATTAATAAATTAGTAACAGAGTTCAAATAATCAAAGAAAAATGATTTGTGATCCCAGTATCGTATGATTTCACCTAATCAAAAATATTTATTCACCTGCATAGATTGATTTTGTTTTCTTAATCATCATTTTAAATATTTTGTTTTCTTAATTATTATTTTAAATCTTTTGTTTATTTGAACTTAAAACCTTAGTTTTCTTTACCATAATATTTTATTAATCTAACCTATTATAAAAATGAAAGAGGTTTGTGAAATTATACCATCAAGAAAAGGAAATGATAAAATTAAAGTTCATGAATATTTGATGGTAAAGGATCTAAACTATGAAAACATATTTTACTATGCTGTAAAAAATGAAAATCAGAAGGATGTAAAGGATGTATAGTAATAAACTTATATAATAACTTGCATTACCTTTGAAGTTGTGTTGATCATAACAATGGACCTCAAGCAAATAATGCAGAAGTCGCGAAAATTACCACTCAGATAAATCGTCAAGCCTTTGAAACAGGAAATAAACCTGCAAAAATAATTCAAGATAATATTATTAGTATGCCAAAGGAAATTCATTCTTATATTCCTTTAGTTAATGCTTTTCGTAAAATAATTAGCTGTGTTAGAAGATTGGAAATACCATCACAACCACAAAATATTTCTGAAGTTAACATACAAGAATCTCTTTATCTTACTTTGAATAGTAATTTTTTCTTATTTAAAGATCATATAGTTAGTCAAGAATAAATCCTTATATTTACTACAAGTAAAAATATCAGACACTTATCTAGTGCATTATTTTGGATAATGGATTACACATTTAAAATTGTTCTTACAATCTTTCATCAAATATATACAATTCATACACCTGTTAGTGCTGAAGACAATTCTAGAATACTTTTACTAATGTATGTGCTAATGACTCATAAATTTGAGGAGCTATATAAGTAGGTATTCGAGAATTTAATTGAGTTTGATGAAGAAAATAATGTTCAATTAAAACCATCAAGTATCATTACTGATTTTGAATTAGTAGCAATTAATATGTCACGTTGCAAGTTTCCTGATGCTAATAATAAGGGTTGTTTTTCCCATCTTGATCAAAATGAGTGGCAGCAAATACAAAATTGTGGATTAGTAGTTCAATATGGAAATGATAAGTATTTAGTATTATGTTACGCCATTTATTTGCATTAACCTTTTTACCTTCACATAATATTCTCACAGCATTTAATATTTTAAAACAAGAAATGCCTTCGGAAGCAAATATCCTGGTGAAATGGTTTGAATAAATTATGTTCATAAAAGGATCAATGAGAAATGTGAAATGTGAAATAGTCATATAGTTCGTTCTGCATCTTTTTTTTCACACAATTATGATCAGTATATAATACTATTGAATTTGTAGTTTTGAGAACTCAAAATATTATTGAGGCTTGGTACTGTCATTAAGAAACTCTGATTAGTAGATCCTGTGTAGGACTTTTCACTATAATTAATAAGATACAAAGAATATACTAATTATTTAAAAATATATTTAGAAAATAAGAAAAATGCAAAAAATGTTATAAAAAAAAATACTGGATATATTTGGTATAATAAATATAATTCTAAAGTGTTTCATCAAAATTTTTCTTTCTGAGTTAGCAAAAATAAATTTATTGATAAATATATTCAAGAAATTCAACTAAATGCTAAAATACAAAACAAATATTAAAATGAATTCCTTATAATAAATTTGAAAATATTGAACATCTTGATAAAGAAGGATTTCGTATTATATATAAAACTATTTGGTTAGATAGATATATTGGATCTTTTTTATATAATGATAATAATTGGATTAGAAGTAAAAAAGTAGAAGTATCTCTTAAATGTCTTGATAATTCATCTAATCTAAATGAAGAATTTTTAAATGAAGTATGAATTTATTATTTTAATTTATTTTATGTATAATAATTTATAAATTAATTTTTATTATTTTAGTGAAAATATTATTATAAATCTTAGTCAATTAAAAAAATATTCAGATGATTATCTTATTTAATTATATAGATTTACTCAAAATCCAAATACATTAAATTATATAATAATAATGAAATATGTAAAAAATAATAATTTAAGAAAAAATTTATCAAATATAGCTAAAAATAAATGGATTATTAAATTATTACAATTATATAATATTATTAGTGAACTTAATAAAATATATAAATAAATTTTATTTATTGTATTTATTGTGATTTTCATTATAGTAATATTTCAAACTTGAGAGATAATATTTTATCTATTAGTGATTTAGAATTATGTAAACCTTTATAATATTTTCAATCATCTATAGGTTCTAAAAAAACTTGGTTGTCTTTTTTATTTAAAAAGCATAATATCTTTTTATCTAAAAATGATATTTATGGTGTTTTACCATTTGTAGTATATGAAGCTTTAAGAGGTTAACCATATACTTTAGCTAATGATATTTATAGCTTTTCTATAATTTTGTGGGAATTTATATCTGGAGTTTCTCCATTTAATAATAAAGCTCATGATTTTCAACTTAGTTTAGATATATGTAAAAGTAAACTTCCTAAAGTCATTAAAAATATTTCACAATATTATATAGATTTAATGAAAAAGTATTAGAATATAAATCCATTAAAAAGACCAACTGCATTGAAAATTAAAAAACAATTAAAAATTAAATAAAAAATATTGCTATTAATAATTTTGATCAAGAATTAAAAAAGGATATTATAAAGTTTTATAAAGTAGATAATATATTAATTAAAAGCAAAATATTATAAATAGTGATAAAAATATTGCTGAATCTCATCCAAAAGCTTATCATACAAGACGTTTACTTATTTTATTGAGAATTTAAATAAAATTTTAAATCAAAAGGATACTATAATAGAAATTAATCAAAATTTTGGTAATTATATTAATCTTTATGAATTTAAAAATTTTTAAATAATTTTAATTTTTTATACTAATATTTATTTTAATTTATAAAGAAGTTAAATATTACAAATAATTAATAATATTTTTATTTAATATATATAATAATATTTAACCAATTTTAATATTTTAAAAGAAAATTAAAATACTTACTATATTTAATTTTTATAACTTAACATTTATTTATTATTAAATTCTAATTCTATTAATATTTATTTAATAAACACTACTATATATAAAGTAAATTTTACATTATAAATAGTCATTTGTAATTATTAAATAAACAAATTATTTTTTAATATTATAATAAATATTTAAATATTTATTAAATCTTTTATTTTATTGTAAAATGGATTTTAAGACTAATAAATTAAATTTGAATAATTGATTATTAAAAAATAATTAATTTTTTTACCAATAAATAATTATATTAAAATATAAAGAAAGTACATTCATAGCTTAATGATTAAATTGCTAATTTTTTATAAGATAAAGTTTCATTATATAGTAATAGGTCACTATTCAGGTATCAGTCAATATATAAACTGTATGATTTTCATAAGAATTTCATTGTAACTGAACTTATGTGAGCATATATACTTACATATAAAAGTAGAAACAAATTGAGGCTTTTGGGATAAAATTTCCAATTAGTATACAGTAAGTTTCTTAACTACTTGTAAATCAATTCTAGCTATATGAATCAATTATTGAATTCAAGCCTTTTATATGATTTAGCTCAAATCTAGCTATCAAAGATATTGATATTGAACTTAGCTAGGAATTGGTCTATCTGACTCTATAAATAATCTGTATAAGAAAAGTATATAGAAATAATAAGTTTATAAAATGTATAATATACGTAGAAAAATAGTATAATACATTCATAAATATTTTTGTATACTAAATACTGGAAATCATTTTTTCTTTATGCAGAAAAATACGGAATTTATACATCTAATCAGTATATTGTATATGTTATTTTTGGTTAGTATTTCTGTATACTAAATACTGAAAATTGTTTTTTTCCGTAAGTAATACCAGATTATTTAAAATGTATAATATATATTTTATAAATTTTTATTTATAAATAAACAATTTTTTTATTTATAATATTTTAAAAAATTCATTTTAGAATTTAAAATTTAAACCAAAAAAAAATAGATTTAAATTTGAAATCTGTAATTATAATACAAAAAGAATTTAATATATCAAATATATGTTAATTCATTAAACAATATATTGTAAATTCTAATTTGCAAAGATAAAAAAAAAGTTTCAAATATACTACATTATATTAAATTATTATATTATTCTAAATAAATATAAAATATCTATAATAGTAATTTTATTTAGTATCATTAATTTATACTTTTTATTAAAATAAAAAAAAATTAATTAAATAGCAAAAAAAAAAAATTATTAAAACTCAAAACCTTAAGCCAGTATAACATATTTTTTCATGTCTATTATACCTTTACATATTAAACTCGATATATAATAGACAATACATTTGAAGAGATCTTCTTAAAACTACCAAACTTTTCAACATTTAAAATCTATAAAAATGTTTTTGCGAAGTGAGCGAACATTTTAAGTAAGACAGAAATTTTAAAATAGTTAGAAAAGTCACATAGTTATCTTATATGCAAAGTCAAAAAATTGGCGAAAAATCAGGGAAGAGGAAAACTGGTACAGTACAGTTCGGCTGATCAGTACAGTACAATCATGCTGATCAGTACGATCATCCAAAATTATGATCATACTGTACTAGCTTTATAATATTAATAAGACCAGTACAGTATGATACGATCATAAGTTATGAAAAAGTACCGTACTGTACTATACTGGTCCTATATATAAATATTATAATATCTATTATAGGACCAGTACAGTACAGTACAGTACTTTTTCAAAATTTATGATCGTACCATATTGTACTGGTTTACTCCGCCTTTTGAACTGTATATAAAGATTAATTATTTTTTTTTAAAAGCTTTATAAAAAAAATTTTTTTATAAACTATACTATTTTGTTTAGATTAACTTTAATTATTTTTTTTGGAAATAAAAATTAGTCTTTATTACTGCGTCATTCGTAAGGCTGTTACCGTAAATTTATAAATATTTAACAATTTGCTTTGTATTTAAACTAAATAAATAATAAAATTATTTATCAAAAATATAATAAATTCTGACTATTTTATTTTATAAAATATTTCATTTAATCAAGAAATATTTATTTATTTATTTAAAATTTATAAATCCAAAATCAAATATAAGAAAATATATATTATTCATTAATATTCTCTCTATTTCTCAACTTAAATAATTGTTTTTCCAAAGCAACCTTCTGTCTTAATAATTCAACTGTCTGCTTCTCTTGCTCTAACTATTGTTGTCTTGCTTCAATATTATTAATTTGTAAAATTCATTTGAATTATTTTTATTTTTTGGTCTTTTAGGTGATCTTGAAGATGTTGCTATTGCTAAATTATCACTTATTTCTTTCTTTTCCTTTTTGCTTTCCTATAATAAATATAATTTTAAGTATTTTAAATACATTTAATAATAAAATAGTTAAATAATTACTTGCTTAAACGTTTAGAAGCTTCATTAAATTTTTGTACTTGTGATTTACTTTTACCACTTGTAGATACATTGTATTTCTCAAAATTTGATGCTGCATTCTATTCTCTATTATCGAATTCTTCAGCTCTATATAGAATAAATATATAATTAATATAATAATACTGACCAATTTATAAATATAGATTTAACTTACTTTTTAATTGCTGCAAGTAATGATAATGAAGTTCTATCTAAATTGATATTATGATGAGCACTTTTATTAACATTTGTATTATTTCTGCTTGTATTCCAAATTTCAAAATCAATTTTAGTAAAAGCTGAAGAAATTGCTGATAAAACCCAAGGTGTATTTTTATCTGTAAGCCAATCTACAAATTTACAATTTATAAATAAAGATTTCAATTAGAATTTTTAAAAATAATCATTATGACAAATTATTATATATTTTATATAATAAATAACAAACCTCTTGTAACTTTAGATTTACAATTTTTAATAATATCAATTATATTATTTACTTCATCCTGAGTTTTAAGAGTTGGTATAGATTTCATAATATTTTTTATTTTTTCAGATACATTTTTTAATTTGTTTATATTTCTGAAATAAATAGAAATTATATTATATAAAGAAATGCAAAATATAAAATCTTTTAATTTAATTAACTATTACAAACCTATGATAATGTACAATACATATTTTATAAATATGCATAAGGTGTTCTTCAATAGACATACTTGAATATCTTTCATGTAAAAACTTACCAAGACCTAAAAAAATTTTATTAGTGTAATTTATTTATAATTATTAAAATAAATAAAATTTAATATATTTACCAATGGTTTGATTTTTATTAGCATCAGCTATAATGCAACCTATACCATTAGAATTTGAATTTAAATAACTAAATTCAATTTCTTTTCTATTATCTTTTTCAATAGTAGAAAATACTTCATAAAATATATGCTTATATGCATTAGAAGTTTTACATTAGTAAAAACTCTTGCAAATGTTAAAGCTAAAAAAATTTATTAAATTAATTAAATATAATATATTATAACTTTCAAATATTTAATAAGACTTACTTTTATTAATACTTTCAACTTAGGAAGTTATTTTCCATTCCTTAATAGTATTTTTATTAATTGTTGTATTAACGCGTTTAAAAGCAGTATCAATTTCAAAATATTTTAAATTTTGAAATTTCATAGATTGCTGCTTAGTCATACAAATAATAAAAAATTTTCCATCATCAAAAATATCTAAAAATAAGAAGTAATTTAATTAATTAGAAATTTCATGTGATATTTACAAATGGCGCAGTAAAGTTTTATTGATCATTTTTAATTCATGATTGGCATAATAAAATCTTATTATAAAAATAATATCTCAGCTAGAGCTCCGAATCAGGTCAGGTCAACCTGTGACCCGACCCGACCCGACCTGAAAAATCCAGGTCAGGTAGACAAAT